CCCCCCGGACCTCAGGGGCTGATCTAGAATTCCTGGGGGAAGAACGTGACTTTTTTTTTTAATTAGATCTTTTTAATAGGTAATGAATGATTTCATAATAAATATTTGATGATTTCGGTAATAAAAGGACGGAATAAAAAAATTTTCCATGTTTTACGGCGTTATGCAATTCAATTGTAAAATTTCATTTGTGAACCGAGAAATTGAATTGTTTTTAATTACAAACATTTCGAATATTTTTCTGAGGTTTCAGGTGTCGATGAGAGGTCGAAACGCTTCTTTTTTCTTATCAAAATGGTTATGAAACCCGATAAAGAGACTCAAAGTTCTTCAGAGATATCCAATCAAAATTTCATTGATCTTCAATATTTTTAAACAGTTATTTTAATCCAGGATATGACAAACAACTTGTAATCCTCGTTGAGACACGATTTTTATTGTAGGAAGGTCAGAATTTATTTCTCCACAGTCATTCCATTCGACGGTTTCAATCCCGAATAATTTGCGAATTCATCATCGAAATTCGTGGAGAATATCGCAGATTTATTAGCCTTATAAAAACCATTCGCGGTTATCAAGAGAAAAAACCTGAATTATTTCTTTCTAGCAACAGTGAGATGAGAATTTCGCAATTTGTTAGCACTTTATCATTTTGTTTAGTGATCAAATTTTTATTTTTAATGGGGAACCTTCTAGAAATTCCAGTAAATTCTAGTTTAATTTGTTTTAGGAGAGATCGGCCGTTTTTTGCATAAATCAACTATCATTCTATCTCTTATTTCCAGAAATTGCTTCCATAACAAAAATAACAAGCACTCAGAAATCCAAGCAATTTTCAGTATTTACACCGAGATACGGAAACCGGAAATATTTTAGTGCCCGATACAGATTTGCGACGAAATTTTTGCCATTTTGCGCGTAATTAAAGTAACAAAAGAGCAAACGCTCAAATCACACGCAATTGCAGAATAGAGAATATCTCCAAAAGTAACTAAAATACTGTAATTCTAGTAATGACCTTTCCTGCAGAGCTAATTGAGAACTATAGAATATATTCCTACAAAAATTTGTCTTTAGTTACAGAAATATTTCAAAAAAATCTAATCAATAGCAAAATTAATACCAAATTATGTTGAATTACCCTAGAAAGAATATCCTCAGGCTTTCTGGATAAAAGGAATTGTGATGCAGTGGTCATGGACCCCAAAACAATGTCAATAACCTCCCACTTGGCCCTGGGAGATCCTGAAATTTTCTCGACACGATTGAATCCCAGAAGGAACAATTAAACACCAGAGCTCACAAAATCCACGTGCAATTGACTTGATTTAATTCTCAACCTCTATAATGATTATCTAGGTTTTACAATATGATATGGATACACAAGAAATAGCGGTTAACACGATCACTCGCGAATTTTTGTACTCAATCATTGTTGAACGGACAGACTGTCGTTATTCCCAGGAATGTTATCCTCCCATTTTTAATTACTGTACACTAGAGTTGGAGTTGTCAGTTGTCTAATTGTCACCTTGAAATGCTAAACAAGTATGGCGGCTTGATTTACGTGTGCAAAAATAATAATGCCCTAGATTTGAAGTTGTGGACTGCAGGTAATGCAGTTTTCCCATAATTTATCGACATTTTTGAAATTTCGAATTTTCTTGGATTTTAAATGAATTAATTTATTACTTATTCATTTATTTTGTTAAATTTTTAGTAGTTGACTCTTTAACGTTCTCATTGAATTATTGATGAAATGATTTTCTCCAAAGCCTGAGCCTTTATTAATTTAATTAATTAATTAATTATTTCATAAAATGATTTAAGTTATGCGCTTTACCCACCCGTATTGAAAGTATTAATAAATCCATTAATTATCATTCATTTATTTCAACTCTCATGAACCTTGCACTTTGATAAACAAATATAATGAATAATATCGATTCACATAAACAATAACTTACGACTAAAACAATTGAACATTAAATTCATAGCAAATAGTGTCATGTTCTTACAACGTAATGCGATAAAAAAATACTATAATCGGAAAGTACTAACTGATCTACCGGTAAACACAATTTTTATTGTTAATAATTAATTCATTATTTAGTAGATTCACACCAGTAGCCCTAATCCAGGTCAGAATTTTTCACGAATCTCAAACGATCGTGTTTATACAGCTTTTGTTTATCTTCCGGTATATTGCCAAGTGAAAATTTGAAAGGAACAGTTAAATACCCGGTGTTTATTTCGGTAACTATCGATCTCAAACTGAAGTTTCACTTTCAATTCAACCTCGGCCAAGGTATAATCCCTGAATTTACTAAATAATAATCCAATCTTTCCGTGAATATTTACAAATCCAAATGCTTTCATAATTATAAAAAAAATATTCGTTTTTGAAATTGTGTCGTGGGACAGCAATTTTTCATTCAACATTGAGATTGATGAGCTGTTTAACGTTCGGGTCTATTGCGGCCCCAAAATAAAAAAAACCTTTGACATATCGATATATTTCAAACAGAGAAACGAATAATTAACTAAATTATCCTAAAAAAAATAGCAGAAGTATGACGGGAGCTGCTATTCCGTAGCTTGCATCGGTAGAGTAACTTCTACCGGAGAATAAAAAAACAGGATTTTGTTGTAGAAAAAGAAAAAAATCCTGAAGTCAATGAAACCCAGGGTCTCCTTTGAAATGGCTACCTAAATGATTAATCATGAGGGATAACTGGATGATAAAAAAATTTAAATCTAAACTAAAATAAGGATCAAGTGCTGATCCATCGATCAATCCACTTAACTGTTGTAAAATTCGATTAATTGACCCTAAATGAGATCCTGTCGAGGGTCTGATAAACATAGGCCTCTTGAAATACCCATTTACACTATTAGAAACATTCGATACAATGTTTTAACTCGTCACTTAACAATTTTTACACGCACGCACACGGAATCTCCTAGTAATGCTTTTATTTCGTTAAGTTTTCGAGGATAATTGTGATAATTATTCAACTGATATCTCTGCAATTAGCATTATCAGAGAGAATTACGAGAACTTCTCCTCATAACTCCATCGTGGAAATAATAATCACCAGTTGTTCGCGTTATCAACAAATCATCCTCGAAATTAATGAACAAAACATCCAGGCAGCCAGTGATTGGTCAAGTGTTGGCTCTTAATAATTTAATTTTTCGCTTATTAATTCATTTTTTACAAGGTAAATCTCTTTTAAAAACCCTTCAATGAATGCAACGGGTGAATTTAATTGGAATAATGATCCTTACGATATGAGTTGACTTTATTTGATTGGCGATTAGTAATGAAAATGTGAGAAAATTCGTCTCCAGAAAGAGACACAAAGCAAGCGATGCTAAAACAATTTTTTTTTTGTTATTTTCTCATTTATTTTTAGAATTTACTTTACTCGTATTACGATGATGTGTCTACGTCTCTTTTAATTATCGATCAATTGCGATTGATTTGGAGGGAAAAGTCCGACAATATCAATTACTTTAGAACGTTTCGGTTGACACGAAATCTCAATTTCCGTATAAAAAAAATCAAATTTCCTGAAGAAGAAGAATTAAATACGCTAGGTGCGCAATCATCTCGCTAATTATCGAGTCGATGAGGAAATGCTATTAATTACTTTGACATTATGTCCCAAACTCAGTGAAACAACTAATTCATTAATGAGAGGAGAGGAACTAAAACTAGAAGTTTTATCAATTTGTCAAATGCAAATCCCCATAAATATTGAGTTCAGAAGAGAATGTCAGAAGACATATTTTTAAAAATTTAACAGAAAAACCCAGTGAATTCGCGAGACAATTCCATTGAATTTTCACTGATTTTTCAATACAATTATTCTATTGAGATATTTATAATGCCATAATAATGAAAAGAAAATTCTTCCTTAAAAAAATCATTAGTGCAAAACAATTTCAAAAGAAAAACAAGGAACTCACGTGAATTAACAAATAATTCGTCTACGAATGGTTTGTCTATTAAATTTTCTGTGCTCTCCTCTCGAACTCTGTAATTACCGAGATTGTTTCCTAATTAGTGACCTCCATCCCCAAATGGTGTATTCATATGCTATTGAACCTCAATGAACCATGAAGTTCATCATCGCAGTAATTAGAGCGTCGTTATATTATTAAAGCTACTTCGTCATATGAATTAACAAAACCAACGTAACTCTCACCACGCTGTCCCCTATTATTACAATTTACTACATCTTTGTGGTTCCAATGGTTTCTTGTTCCTCTCGAAATATCTCACGTCCATAATTAATTTTTCAGTCTTAATCTGTTCTTCGATTTTTCCCATGTTTCTCGATTGTTGTTTGAAACGCACTATTTGGCTGATTGACGTCTACGGACCTTATTGTCTGCTCCGTCATTCATTTCAGCAATGAAATAGTGAAATTAAACGAACCGTTGAGGAATTTCTGCACCCTTTTCAAATAGACCTGAAATTTTTCATTCGACCAAACCGAAAGTCCTAACTAACCCGGAGATATCTCACAAACTATCAGACCTAGACTAAAGAGTCATTGAACATTTTTTATGGAAAATTAATTTCTCCATAAAAAAGTTCCTTTGACTTTTCACCTAGGCCCAGCGGCTATCGAGATATGATAGAAACAATGCAAAATTCCGGGGCTCGTAAAATTTCACAACTTCGTCATCTATCCAATTTGATTCTGCTAACATCGCCCCCACTATCCTGCAAATATCTCCGAAATCATCGGTTTTCCAGAAAATCTCATGAAACATTTTTTATAGGAAATTAATTCTTCCACAAAAAAGTTCCCTTGACTTTTATTCTAGACCCAGCGGTTATCGAGATATGAGATGGAGAATGCGAAATTCCTGGGCTCATAAAATTTCATAACTTCTTCACCTATTTAATTTGATTATCCTATGTTCGTGGCAAGTGTACTCCCTAGCGCAGCGATCTTATCTTCAGTTTGAGTACAAAATACGTGGAAAACCTTAGGAGAATGAGCATGGAAAGGAGGGCAACGGCATCGAGCCAGTAGGCTGATTTATCCATTGCCATTTCCTCGAGGAATTTCTTTGGCTCTCTGTAGTGGCAGTAAGCCTCGCGGCATTTCAATCGTGGTCTGTTGTATCCAAAGACTGTTAGCATTGCTCCCTCAAAACCGTAACGAATGAACGATAGATAGGACAGCCAGCTCAAATACGATGGCATTGCTGTGTATTTTATGAAGAATCCAGAGAAGAGGATTATAGGGACTGTTGATACTGGACCGATGAACACTCCACTCTAAAAATTCAATTTTAAATTAATTAATCTAAATGATATCTCAAAGAAATTCTCCCATGTCAATTGGTCTTTTCCTTAATTATTCAATGATGCAATTATTTGTTTGAGAATTTTAGGGTTTTTATCCCAATTAAATGATTGTACTTACCTCAACGCTCATTGAGGCCCCAATTAACAATCCAATGGATTGGGAGACTAGTGCTGTCAGCACGCAGATATTGAGGTACATCAAGAATCTATATGTTTCCAATGGTTGAGACGTCATGAAGTAGACAATCATGACGTAGGCTATCGAGAACACAGTCTGAAATAACAATTATCATAAATACATTATTCATTTTTTCATGGAATTCATTTATAATTTATAAAAATGTGCGCACGTATAAAAAATATCTAGAAAAAAAAAATAAAACGTCCTCAGAAATATTGCCAATGTCTACAAAATTCGTATCAAAAGTCGTATTTCGATTGCGTCGGTTGTCTTAAGTATTCGGTTTCTTATAAGTACTCCGGACTAGCCTATTACTCAGGCCAGAATTAATTTCATCGGAATTTTTGTCGGAATTTTATTTTCGTGGCTTTTTCAGGCATCGACTCATAAAAATATAAACTGTCACATCTGATGGGATATTTCTTCCATGAATTTTCATAGAAAAATAAAAACCTAATGAAGTCCCACAGAATTCATTTAAAAAATCGCCAGTTTTAGTGATCACCTAAAAAATTGTCAATAACCCTGATTTTTCTATAATTGTAGATATGATTTATCTGAATTATTTACTTGGAATGGTAGATCAGAAATAGTTCTTGCGAGGTAGAACGATTTCAGCGAGTACCAGTAATTCAAATGCTCCCTTACGAACACAGACATCTCCATAGGAACTGCAGAGAAAAATATTTAATTTAAATTAATGCGTAATGCCAAATAATATTTGGATATTTAATGAGGTATTTGGTATTTCGATGAGAAACAACTCACACGTGAGAATTGTTGGCATCATCGCGGTGAACATCAAGAACATTACAGTAAAGAAGACACAGCCTGCATTACTGTAAACCTCAGCTCCTTCATTACCAATATCGTAGTAGAGAGCACCAATCAAAAATCCAACGATAATGTGAGATATCAGTCTCACTCTCGTTAACGTCTGAAAGAAAATTAATTATCACTGCAATTACAATAATTCTCCACATTGTATCTTAATTTCCACAAGGGTCAATGGATTTTATGAGAGGCTAATGCTCAGCGTTCTGTCAATTAGGGTCAATAAATCGTCATTGCAATAATTGAGAGGATTAATCGATGAACTTTTGCTCGGATTATTTTTCCATTCGTCAGGATATTGAGGGATTTTTATAATTATTGAGGGATTATTGTAATTTTGGAAACTCAGATGAATTGAGATTAATATTTTCGAATTTAAGAACGCACCATATCTCTCATTTGGGACAAGAATGTTCTCTTCAATAATATCCAGAACTGGGTCCAGCCATTGGTTGGAAAGCCGACCTTCTGCTCAATGCTCTCAGCACTGTCCAACAGGGAAGTGGTGCAAGAGACAGGCATGTTGATAACAGCACCAGGTGGTCCTTTGGACACTCCATTGGGTATAAGGGCCTCAGGTTTTCCCTCCTTGATCCCATCCGGTGGTGATTGTTTGGCAATGTCATTGGAAACGGCGTGTGTCAGGAAATTCGTCTGATAATTCTGGTAATTGTTGCATTTTCCATTGTTGACAGCTGTCACCAGCTTCTCCACGCACTCACCGTGCTCGCCGGATGCCACTTCCATAACAAAATCGGCTGGATTGTGGTAGCTGGGACAATCGAGTCCCATTGACGATAGAAATGGTACTAGACCGTGGACATTGCCCTGGTAAATGCATTGACCTTCAGCGAGAAGGTAGAGATTATCAAACATCTCGAAGAGTCTCGCACTTGGCTGGTGGATGGTGCAGATTATCGTTCTGCCTCCTCGGCATAGGGATTTGAGAAGACTGAGGCACTGAAAGCAGGAGGAGCTGTCGAGGCCTGACGTTGGCTCATCGAAAAACATCACTGGTGGATTGTTCACCAGCTCCAGAGCAATGGACAATCGCTTTCGTTGGCCACCGCTCAGTGACTGGGTCTGCGTGTTGCTCGCATCTGACAGACCCAGGGTATCGATTATCTCCTCGATCAGGACTTTCTTTCCAGCTGCATCTATATCCTTTCCCAGTTTGAGATTCGCTGAGACTGTCATTGCCTCGTGAACCGTCAGGTGAGGCAGAAGCCGATCATCCTGCATTATGTAGCACGACGTCTTCCTGAAGTGACGGAGATTTCGCTCTTTTCCGTTTATCAGGATCGAACCGTTGAGGTTTGACGTCCTGTGGAATATTCAGAGAATTTCAAGCAGTCCATAATTTTTCACTCAGATCAACACAATGAGAAAAATCCATAATGAGAAAATATATTTCATTATTTAATTCACTCACTTGTATCCTGCAAGTACATTCATGAGAGTACTTTTGCCAGCTCCCGAGGGCCCCATTATCGCCGTCAGCTCTCCAGATCTCACTTTTCCAGTTACGCATTTCAGGATTGTTTTGTATCCTGAAGATAACAAATATGAACAATGGATGATATTATTATGAAAATAGCGTAGCATCAGTGATTAGACAAGTGCCACTTTTGATAGTGCAATTTTTCACTTATCAATTAAATTTTTATGAGATAAATCTCTTTAATGACCTCCCAATTGCTGCAACGAGTGATTCAATTGGAATAATGACCTCTTCGACATGAGTTGATTTTATTTGATCGGCGATCAATCATGGAAGGATTAAATCACCAGAATTCATCTGGTGAGATCTATCTAGTCTTTTTGTTAATTTTCCCTTCCTCTTAGCATATAATTTATAAATGCATAGTTAAAATTAATTTAGGGGAATTTAAGGTAAGTTTAAATAGATTTAGGGTATTTTTTTGAGGATAAATAAATAGTGTACCTCTTTGTCTGCCCTCGGAGACACTGTAGGCCAAGTCTTTGAACTCTATGTCGACTGGTGGTCTTCTTGGCAAGTGTGTCAGTGCCACCACTGGTTTTTTATTCACCTGGCCAGGACTTATGCCCGTGTGATTCTGAACTTTTCGGGCAAGACCACCGGTAGCACAGCCAGTTGCATTTCCATTCGATGATGTACCATTGCAACTGCAGTGAAGATTATTTTGGGAGCCACTGCAAATAGAACGAGAATATATTTTCATAACAATGGAACGCATGAGAAATTACTAAATTCAATAAAAACTAAAAAAAACAAGTAAGTCCAATTATTTTACATTGTAATAACTACAATATAATATTGATTGATAATTATTTAATGTCATATTTAGCGAAGAGAGGAATGAAAATTGTTGATTTGACAAAATGGAGTGTATAGGCGATAATTGGAGATCGATTAAATTTTAAATGACTAGTGTAAACCGATTGTTTGTCAATTCTCCAATTCTCTGATTGTTCTCCATTGAGATAATTTCGTAGAAAATCGATGACGGTACAAGGACAAGACAAGGTCCCAGGTGACGTAAAGGGACAAAGTACAGAAGTACTTTCGGAGGGCAATCGATTTCAATTGTGTCTGATAACTACTTCAAGTGTTGATTCCAATTGAATTTAGATAATTTGTCGGTTTTTTATTCGATATCGGGGAGATAATTTCATCACCGAGAAATAATTGCATAACTGAAAGTAGTACGGGAGATGATAACGATTGCGGTAATTATCAGTCGAATCGGTGGGAAACTTATCGAAGACTTGTGTTTCATCGATGAAATTCTCTCGAGTCTTTCACTATCTGTAATTGGCGTCAATTTTTGTTATCTATAATAATCGAGCACGTGTTACTCGATTTTTTTGACAAAATTTTCGGGACCAACTCCATGCGAGAGATTAAGTTTCATTAATTAATTATTAATTTGTCTCGTCAGTTTTCTATCCTTTTTTTTATTGATCTCAAAATTCATTACTCTCGATTTCCCCAATTTTGTTAATCATTCTCTTATGATATATTGATTTTATTTGCATTCACAATTTTTATTAATGATTTAAGGACAATTTTGTTGGGAGTATGAATTGATTTTTAAAATCTTTGAAGTTGTTCTTTTTTTCAATGAATCATCCTGATAATGAAAAAGTACCTAGGGGTCAGTGTCTAAAGGTCGGCCTCTGAAATATTCCTCCTATCTTAAAATAAACTCAACCTCTGAATTTTAACGCAAACACTCAACAATTTGCATCACCGAGATCTCTTATCTCCGAATGAATCCAAACAGGAGATAAACTACAAAGTGAATTCAACGAAAATCGCTCCGAAATGAATAAAAGAGCGACGACTTCGCCTTTTCCATTCTGATCGACTGATAAATCGAGTTCAATCATTCAATTTTCATGTTTCAAACATTTTTTTGAATTGCCTAGACCGTTCAGACATGGAAATGATGAGATCGGAGAATCTAAAGATGTTTGGAATTTTATTAACCTGAGAACTGCATTGTTTAGGTTCTCCAGGTGAAGAGCTGGAGGTGGTGATCTAATTGTCACCTGGTGGGAGCCCTCAGCGATGAATTGGACCTGCTCTTCGCCATTGTACCTAGAGACACTACCCAGCGTGAGATTCTTCATATCGCCCATTCTCTGTGACCCTTATCTTTCCCTGGAAATAAATAAATAAATAAATGGAGACACAACCAGAATGACAATTCATGAATTCCATCAATCCAAAGCCGAATCATCCAGTTTATTCCCTCATCGGGTGTTTATTATTTCAATCCACTGGATAATGACTGCAAATTGCATGGATTACACAAAATTTCAAGCTTGATAAAACGGAATATTAACACGTGCTGTCGATCAGGGGAATTTGTTGCTGCCGTTGTGTCCGGACGATATTGCGGATGAATGATAATTTCCGGAGGGGAGGGACACGTGGAAAATTGAAACTATTTTTATTTTTTTCTGAACCAGAACGAAACGAAACTCATTTCCGCGATTTTCATATTAATTACATATTGTAGGGATTTTCTATATTTTTTATTCATCTATTTCAATGATTTCTTAAAATGGAAATGAATAATTTCTGTTAATTTGTTCGGTAAGTAAATAATAGGATTAAAAATTGGGAATTATTCTCTTTTATTGGGAATTTCATTTAGCACTCAGTTTTTGGTTGAAAATTTAATTTCTTATTCATAAATTCCAACGATTTGTTGCAATGAAAAGTGATAAAATAATTACTTCTAATTTTTTTAGTAAAAAAAAATAAATAATCGGACTAAAAAATTGGAATTTTTCTCTTTTATTGCGAATTTAATTTTGTACTCGATTTTTATTTGGAAATTTAATCTTTCGTGGGCTTGACAAGGAGTCGAGGAGAGACAAGAGGTCGTGTCTCGTCATCTAATGTAATTTGTGTTCGATTGCGTTGAATTTTCCTCGCATGCCCCAAGTACATACAATTGCAGGCAATCACGAAGAGAGAATTTGAAAAAATAATCAGAATCATGCATAATTGAGAATAAATTCCACTGCCAGAAAAAAAAATAACGAATTTTTCACTGTAGATGGACTCGATTTTCAAGCGATAATTTTTATCGATTGATTTCCTAAGACATGCCACTTAAATGAACACCTGGGTAACTGCAGATTAAGTCCTCAAGATCATCCGCTTATCTATCCAATTAATTGCTCGATAAAAGACAATAAAATGGGTTTGTAAGTCTAATTTTTTATGTCAAATGACTTTATTCTATTCGATGTATGAGTCATGGAATACGAGAGCTGGGAAATGAATCGTCATTCCTTCGTCATCGCCTCGTATTAAATTTCTATGATCAATGCTAGATAGTTTCGCAGTCCAATGTACAGTTTTCTAGTAAAAATTCCCCTAAAATATTCATTTTTAGTCGATTTTTATCATAATTTTTTCTCAGTGTGTTAGAGAGATCCGATTGCGAATTAAATCGTTGTGGTAATACGCTTTCCACTTCAGTATTCAATACTTTATTCTGTAATTAAATACTCTACGATACTTAACGATATCCGATCACTTGGGCAATTTTTTCTCGTTTTCCCAATTACAGAATCCCGATTTAATGACGATTAATCGACGATAACAGATCGATTTATCGAACATGTGAGTTTTCGAGGAATATCTCAGAATCTGGGAAAAATAGCGAAATTTTTGTAGAAACCTTTTTTGCAGTGCTCATTGCACTCTGCAAAAATGGTTTTGATGAAAATCTCTCTATTTATAATAGATTCAGAGATATCTCGCGAAAACTGGAGTTGAAAAGTACGACTGACCGAATTTCGTGTCTTTCTCCTGAAAAATACTGGTGAAGGTTTAATTAATTGAATGAACTATCAATTTTTTTCGCAAGACTAACTGAAATAGGGGAAGGTTAGTTACACGTGATTTTGATAGCGCAAGCGCGAATTACTCATTGTTTCCGACGAAATAGCCACTGAAGTGGATGGCAAGTCCCATTGAAACTCAGTACGTGTCTCTAGATATTCTCCACGAGAAAAAAATCCAGGTGGAGAGAAACTTGATGAAAGAATAACCTCGCGCGAACTAGTTGCACCTAAACATCGGGAACAGTAAAACTTTTGATTGCAGATGGCAAAAAACAGAGAAACCCTCGCGGTTGTTGCAAATCGCACGACTGAAAATTACTAAGTCTTCGAACAAAATCGATTGAGAATTCCTTCGTTAAATTCAGATCCGTTGTCTATCTTCTTTTTTTGAAAAACTGATTGTTCACTTTACGAAAGACAATTGTTTTTTTTACAATGGAGGAAATTTACAATTGAATATATGCAAATTCAATAATTGAATAATTAAAAACAATCATTTGTATTTTCAGTGGAGAATTGAAATCTAATCTTACAACTCCATGCGATCATTCACTATTGAATTTCTGTTGAAAGAAGAATTATCGATTCTGTAATTGAACAAAACGAAAAATTTAGAAAAGGCGATTATTTTTAACAAATGGACAATCAGACAATTCTTCAAGTTCTCTAATAGTTTTTATTACTCTCTGATGTCACGGAAATCCGTGAAGACTGCGTGTCAATTGAATCGGCAGTGATGCCCAATAAAATTTCGAAATTAATTAGTCACTCGCACGATATCAATGATTGAGAAAAGAAAATCGTCTTCAGAATTAATCACGCAGGAATGACATAGGGCGATGAGTAAGTCAATGTGAAAGAATTGAGTTTTAAATCTATTGCATCTAATAGCGATTTTTTTGATATGTCAAGGACGAAGAGCGAATGTTAACGAAATCATTTGCAAATACAGGTAAAAGTTTTAGAATACTTTCTAGCGTAGTTGGTGCATTGAAATTGGTGGTGATAAAAAGGGGTGTCGTGTCGATGCTCGCATGGCAACCCACATCCGACAATTGACAACAAAAAATGAAAATAAATTATCACGAAGAAGAATTTTTCACATAATGGATTAATTGATTTTATTTATTCCGTTTGATTAGTTCTATTCTATCCCATTCTTTCCCATTTATTCTCTAGTTTCTCTGTCTCCATTACTATTATGCATTTTTTTATATTTTTATGACCTATTTGTTTTTATTGCACTGTAAAACTCGCAAGAGCAACAGTGGAAAGGAAATATTTGTATCTTTGTTTTTATTATTATGGAATTCGCAGAAAGGTCAAGAAACTGATACGAAGAAAATTCTGAGAGAATGGAAATAACATTTTTGCAACTTTTTTTCGATTAAATATGAACGGGACATTGTTATTTATTGATATTGACATTTCCGGGATGCAGTTGTTATCCACGAAGTGATAACAAACTAAATAATGAATAAAAAAATTGTTATTCATTTTTTCGTCCCAAAAATCAAAAACCCAATTTGAACTTTCCTTTCAGCGAGGGAAAAATTCATTCAAAGTGGAAACATCAAAGGGCTTCAAGCCACTGATTAAATTCCCTCCAAAAAGCTCTCCCCAAAATCCACATTTCCGAATCAATAAAGATTCACCAAAACCCAAAATTTCACCACCAATCTCATTTACCAATTTATGGCTAATTATCATCACCAAATATTAATTCCGTCACATAAAAAATACTAGAGACAAAAAGACACGCAAATTCCCCAAAAAAGTCCTTACCCCCGAAATGCGTCGCAAAATGATCCCCCAGGTCAAATTACCATAAATAATAATTCCTCAAGAATTCCTCAAGAACTAATTTGCAAGTCTCAACAAAGAATAGAAATCCTCCAATTATTATCAAACAACATCAATCAATACTGGCAACTCCCCTTGCCCCTCTAGCCCCTGGAACTCGAAGAATCACCCCTGAACTGACAATTAGAATGCAAAGTAACTAAAAAGGGAGAAAAGTAGAAATGGACATTTTTTATAATGATGGAATTGAATTGGAGACTTTAAGGCTGTAATTGAAATCTGACTTACAGGACGACAGTGGGTATCCAGTGCAACAGTACCATAACCCCAGGGTCCAACAACTAAGTAATAACCAGAAGAACAATCACTTCACCTTGTCCAATCAACTGACCACTTGTCCGGGATCAACTGACAGTCGAATGACTCGGGGTCCAGTGCATCATACCAATGTATCAGTCATCAAGAAACAAAGGATTTTCAGTAGTGGCTTTTGTCCAGCTGTACCAGACAGTGGGGGAATCCTGACACAACTGCAGCTGCAGCTTTCATTCAACATTTATCACCAGATGATTATTACCAGTGGATTGTCTCGGTTTTTCTGAATTTGGGTGAAGTGGAAAACACATCGGACTGTTTCAAATGGTGACCACTTCGGGGTGATTTCTGTGTCCGACTGGTCGAGGCGCACTTTATGCTACTGATTGCTGAACTGACGAGGAGGCAGTGAGGCACCAGTCAAAATCAGCTGGTCGTGGTCATACCGTAGCAATCGGCTAGCCTCGTGTCTTACCAGGAGTGTAGGGATCTGGGGGATATCGTGGTGCTTCTTCGGAAGGACGTACGTTCACCCGACAGATGTGAGTCATCGTGGAATGTCGGCGTTGATGACTGAATTTTTAAGACAGTCCTTCTCCTAACGGAGCTAAATCTTTATTAAAAAATGACAATTCCCAAAAAATCATTATGTTTATCAAAGAAATTTACTTTATTTTTTTAATGATCGATCTTTTCGTAATTTGTTCACTCCCTGAAGCAAAAGGACTATTGGACGATGAAATTATTGAAAAAACTTGAAAGGCACAATTATTACAATTTTTTATCAGTAAATCCCTCGTCAATCTGGAATTGAAAGGAAATTGCGCATGTGAAGGATTTGCCGCGCAAATCTAGAGAAGAATCAGTAGTAATAACAGAAGATAAGCCGACTCGACGTTTCGGTAGGATTTTCGAAAATATTATTGTTTGAAATTATTATATTTGAATATTATCAGTTGAAAGATGCAAAGCAAGTTGTTATAAAAATTTCAGGTGTTTCAATTATTTGGGGGATATTTCTGAAGTAGTCATGCCAATTGAATTCGTTTGGATTCGTCTTCGAATCGAGAAGGTTTCGATTAAACTTTTATGTGTTAAAAATTATTTCTTTTTTAGTTCACAAATCAAATGACAAGAGAAAGGCGAGACATAGCAGGCGTGTTTTATGACTTAACTCCTCTAATTTTCAACGCATTGCCCTTCATAAAAAGTAGAGCAGTCCCTCTCAAAAACTCCCCTCCCCTACCTTCCCGCAATTATAGTGAAAATCAAAATGCAAAATTTCTCCATGATTAGGAGGAAGTGAGATACGAGGTTAATAAATTTAAATAACTAGATCCGACTTCGTAAAATACGAAATTCAAATCGTAAATTACCATTTCAAATCTCGTAATTTCCTTCATTAATCCCCAATTAACCAAATTAGATAGGCCACCCTAAATTCCCATCCAGGACGCGCGTTTGACAGCAATCGTCTTCAACGTTTATTCGAAATTTCAAATCTAGAATTCTGTAAATTGCAGGGGATCCGGGGAATCCCAGTACGTCCCTGCGCCTGCGCATGCTAACAAAGACCATTTTCCCGGTTAGACTCAAAATCCAGTGTACGGGGACAGGAATATCGCCTTAACGTATCGAGAATGAAAAAGGGAAGGGGTTTATAGCATTGAGTACATAGAGTAAGAACAGAGAGGATCAACTGTGTACAATCAAAGAAAAAAGGACAAGATGATGTGAAAGCAGGTTGGGCACATTGCCGCATGCGCTGGGTCGATACTCTCCGACTCCAACCGAATATTCCCGAGTTCAAGTGCACTTGCACTCAAGACATACAGGGATGAAATTGTTATGACTCAAATGTATGCAGAGAGTTGCTAAAAAATTGAAGACCCCCTTAGACCATCTTTTTTTTACAGCAAAAATAAAATACACATTTTACATAGAGAACTTTCCTAGGCAATTCTCAGTTTTCACCTTTCACCAACAAACCAATAGGTCTCAATTATTAAATTTAAGTGCACTGGCACCCGGGAAATAGTCGATAGATGGGAAATCTTATGCTGGACTAATCTGATTTTATTAAATTCATATTTATTTTCGTAATTTAAATTTTGACATGTTAAAAAAAACGGAAGAACTGTCAATTTTGGATCTATTCTTGGAAATGGAATTGGTTTTATATTGAGTCTTCGTTGGAAGTAATTGTTTGGAGGGACTATAAATTTTACTGGAATTTATCATTTTTGTTTTGTCATTCGTCTCAAAAATACGAGAAGTATAATTAAAGCGTAAAGAGAAGCAATTCTGTTACTTCCTTACATTTCTATCTTCCTTTTCTGTTATTGTGTAGCTCTAAGTTCGTTTTAACTCGATAATCGATATTGCGCAAGCTCTTTCGTCACTAGAAAAAAAATTATCATAACAAACTTTGACAGTGAAAAAAGGGATTGGACGTTGATTTTTCATGGATTACGCAATTCTGATTTAATTTGCTTGACCCCCGTAATAATTCAATTTCATCCAATTTGATCGAGAATCTCTCACCCAAATTTCTCCCTCAATAATCATTGCACATTGTCACTTTGATCAGAACACCCGAGGGGATTGAAATTATAAATCCGCGCGATAAGGATATTCCGCGCCCATCTATAGCCAAAATTCACATTTTTAAAATTTTTTTGTAAAATTATGAATGGGATGGATGTGAAAAATATAAGGTTTTGGGCCTTATCATTATTTAGGGGAGAGTCAAATAGTTACGAAGTTCAGTGGCGGTGCGATAATTTTCATTAACTTTCTCTACTTTTTTGTGATTATTTTTTGAAGTTAGAAAAACGGTAGAAAAATATTGGCATAGGAAGTTTGTCAGAAAAATTTAAAAAGGTCAATTTTGTCAATATATGGGTGGAGAACACTCTTAAACCTGAGAGAAAACTGAAAATATTGACAAAGAGAGAACCGAACAACAAATTTCAGCAAAAAACTGACGTTCCTATCAGCATCAGATATTCGGTGCTGCATCTTTATATCCGCGAAAGCTTCTGCATTTCCGGTTGCTCTCATCATATCCGGCGTGACCTATCAACCGGAAATCCGACAATTCGTGTCAAAACCGTCAATACGTCATTAGAGAACAAATCGGAAATACTCCCTCCATTTAATTGCCTTCACAGATCGATCATGGATATCTCAAGCTTTTTGTTATGTTACAAAGACAAAAATTGTTGCTACTGCATTGATAACAAAGTATTTCAATGATATTGCTCAACTCTCTCAAGTGTTTTGATCAATGCGACAATGTTACAATGTTTATCTGCCCCTCAAGTACTTTTTTTTCGGACGTAAATTGCGTATGTAATTCCAAGATGATGCTCGTACAATGTCATGACCGAGAAAATTGCAGATATCCAGTGGAGGGGAGGGTAAGTATATACCACTGAATTATGCAGGCACCGGAAAATGCCATTACCATATAGACTTTTTTGTTATCTCGCTATTCTAGTTTCTCGAGATGACACAGGAAATAGCAAAATTGTTTTTTAGAGGATGTTTCGTAATTACCTTGATAGTGACTTGAGTGACTTCGCGAAAAAATGGGACATCATCTCGATGCAGTGATTTTATTCAATTTCCTTCGGGCAATTCTGGATATAGAATTTATCATTTTAATTGTAATCTCGTTGATTTTCACTGATTTTATCGATTTTATTAGTTCTTTTCAGGTAATATGTTACATTTTTAATGACGCAGGGGATTGATTTGAATTAATGATTATGAGGATTGATTGCAGAAGGCATCCAGTTTTGCATCATGGAAAAAAATGAGTAATAACTGAACTTTACGTAAACCGCGGACGGAGAAAATTACGTGTCAATTTTTGCAATTGAGTAAAAAGTGAATGTCGCGAGTGCACATGCACCGAAGAACTTTGTGTACTTTGTTCCAGTGCAATGATTAGTGGTGACACATACCGTTCCGCGATGATCGGACGATTAATGACTCCTGGAAACAAGGGGAGTTGCACAGTAGGTCATGCGAATTCCTTTGTCTCTGGGTATTAACGAAATAAATTTAACAACTGTCTTTAACTCATCAATTGAGGAAGCGAGAAAATCGCGGTGAAATTCACTGGAGGGACAGTGAACTCTCCCTTCTCTATTCAACTATTAACATCTGTTCAAGCAAAACTCGGTCATGAAACAATTTTAAATGGATCATCTCGAGTGGTTTAGAGCTCAATCTTGAGAGAAATTTCCCTGATTTTAGTGGATAATAAAAGTCTTGGATGGGTATGGAATGGTAGAGACAACAATTCTTTGCAGTTCCGGGACTTGATCTGGGATTTTCCGAGGAGAAGCGTGACTTTTCTTTCTAAGTCAATCTTCCTGAAAACCAATTCTGAGAGAGAGAAAAATTTGATAAAAATCAGAATTTCGATTCGATTGAATCAGTACCTTTTCTATTATTTTAAACGTACACAGCTCTGTAAAAAAATTCTACAGAAGTTCGTTCCGAGGGGGGGGGGGGGGGGGGGGGGGGGCGATCCCGAAAAATTAAAAAATTTGATAAAATTATTGATTGAGCTTCGATGGAGTGAACCTTTTGAATTTGTCCGAAAAGAAAAATCGATTTCAAAAAAGTTCATGTTCTTACCCCTCACATTTGAATTTGTCATCTCTGCAGACATTTCGGAGATCTGCCTTGACGACATCTGGTACTCCGAAGATGCAAACATTCAATGTCCCCTCCATAGAGAATGAACTAATGTAGAGGCTCAGTTGTGGGGGCTTGATTGCCCGTACCGGTATCGTAGTAGTGTACCCCAAGAGAGGGAGGGCGCCACAAGCAATGGGGGTGTCTGCCCGTCAGCCCTCTCGGTAACTGCTTCATGTTATTTTCTGCGTTACGAAATTGGTATTCACTGAAATTGAAAATTTTGTGGAGTCACTCAAATTTTTTGCCCCCATTGCAAAAAATTTAAGTGACTCCATAAAATTTTAAAATTTCAGTGAATATCAATTTCGTAACGCAGAATATAACATTCACCCTGTCGACCGGTCCCTCTGACAGCGAGACTGCTACTGAGGCACCTACCGAGTCGACTGACGGTAGACCCCCTACTATTGGGTGCGGCCCCCTCTTTCTCTTGGGGTGAGGTGGGGTACAATGGTGGTGGGGTCACTCAAACCCCCACTGAGTGGCTCAGTTCGGGGTAGTACCTCACCCCAAGAGAAAGAGGGGGCCGCACCCCATGGTGGGGTGTCTGCCCGTCAACCGACTCGGTAACTGCCTCAGTAGCAGTCCCGCTGTCAGAGGGATCGATTGACTGGGTGAATTTTATTTTCTGAAAATTTAAAATATTTCAGTTTCAGTGAATAGCTCCTCGATTTTCATGCTTCCATGATACTTTTTTAAAAATTTGGAATTTTTCGATTTCAGTGAATACGTCCTCGATTTTCATGTTCCCCTCATACATTTTTGAAAATTTCAAATTTTTCAATTTCAGTGAATACCTCCTCAATTTTCATGCTCCCCTGATAAGTTTTTGAAAATTTCGAATTTTTCAATTTCAGTGAATACCTCCTCGATTTTCACGCTCTCCTGATACTTTTCCAAAAATGTAGAATTTTCAAATTTCAGTGAATACCTCCTCGATTTTCATTTTCCCCTGATACTTTTTCAACAATATCGAATTTTCAAATTTCAGTGAATACCTCCTCGTTTTTCACGTTCCCCTGGTACTTTTTCACAAATTTTGTATTTTCACATTTCAGTGAATACCTCCTCGATTTTCATGTTCCTCTGATGTCATAGGAACCAGTCGACGGGGTGAATATTATTTCCTGCGTTACGAAATTAGTATTCACTGAAAATGAAAAATTCGAAATTTTCAAAAAAGTATCAGGGGAGCATGAAAATCGAGCAGGTATTCACTGAAATTTGAAAATTCTAAATTTTATAATAAAAAACAGAAACCAATTTCGTAACGCATAAAATGACATTCACCCCTGCGACTAATCCCTCTGACACCGGGACTGCTACAGAGGCAGTTATCGAGTCGCCTGACGGGGAGACACCCCACCCCACCACATACATCGTTGTATGGTATCTACATGACCTCAAAGTTTCAAAAATAGAATAAACTATAGAAGCATTACCCAGTCTCCAAAAATCAGGCAATAACAATAAATAAATTGATTCCTCTTATTTTTTATTAAAAAATAACAACGACTTACACCTAATGCAGCAGTTTTCGCAAACGAACCGGCATTCAAGCTGACGGCATTAGAAAACAGAACGTAATTCAATGTATCTGATACTCCCATTCCCGTTTCGGAGATCCAATCGAAGGGTTTTTGATGGTTAAGACCAAAATCCACACGCTAAATTCTCTTCAATCAATTATTTTTCACTGACTATTGGATTTTACGTGATTGCACTGTTTTTTTAAGAGAGAATTATTTATTAGGTTCAGAATTTTCGCAATTATCTTATCTCGTCAAATTGAGACTGCCCGCGGTCTTCTGTGCGCATGCAGGGTGTTCTGTGCGCATGCGGGGTGTTCAGTGCGCGTGCGCGGAGTATCGCCTGGCGACCCCCACTCGAGCGCCGCCTCCAATGCCTCGCCATTTTGAGTGGGGAGTCAGTCGTTCGGCGGCAGCGCGTGGAACGGTCGGTCGGGTGTCGCGTAGTGAAAATCCGTTAACATCGGGGTCCTAGTGAGTGTAAAAAACCGGTGCCGCCTGTGAACATTGAAAATAAAAAGTGCAGGACTGAGTGCAAGTGATTTTGGGACGTGAAATAATTTTTTAAACAGTTTATCAGAGCATTTTGAGTGATTGTGATTTTTCCTTTGCTACACTGAACTTCGGTATTGTCGAACGGCCGCCCGGCGTCATTGTGTTTACAAAAATTCCTTTGTCCGTTTCTCGGAATTGTT